ATAATCAGTGCAACTGCATTGAATTTTAGTGGTTATGCAACTATTTGATAGTTCCCTGGGGCAGAGACTCAATGGGATCCAGTGCTTGTGGGGAGCCTGCTTAAAAGCTGGCTCCTCATGGGCACCAGCTCCTGCACTCCCCCCTGCTACCTCTGTATAGGCAGCAAGGGGAGGAGATAGTGAGCAGTTGACAGGATTAACCAGTAAACACAGGTTTATCAGTTAATCATGTAGTTGACTGCACACTGACATCCCTACTTCATGGTTATACGCAGCTGCCCCCTCCCCCCCACACCGCGCTGCTGCCTGTGATACAGAGGCAGCAGCCAGGGTGGGTGCGTAGGGAGCAGGATTTTAAGCCCGATACAGAGGCAGTTGATACATGCAGGGAGCCAGCTTTCATGCTGCCTCCCCACACTTACTGGCTCCTGCATAGCCATCACCTCCCACCCCCCACACTGCTGCCTTTGTATAGAGGTAGCAGTGTGCGGAGGAGCAGACAGGAGCTGGTGCTCATGGGGAGCTGACATTTGAGCTGGCTCCTCATGTAAACCATGCCACCCCCATGTTTAAATGTGTAACCTCTAAATTTTTCAGTGGTTACATGTTTATCTAAATAAATACATTTTAACATCTCTAATGCACATCACCCCCCACACTGCTGCCTTTGTATAGAGGTAGCAGTGTGCGGAGGAGCAGACAGGAGCTGGTGCTCATGGGGAGCTGACATTTGAGCTGGCTCCTCATGTAAACCATGCCACCCCCATGTTTAAATGTGTAACCTCTAAATTTTTCAGTGGTTACATGTTTATCTAAATAAATACATTTTAACATCTCTAATGCACATGGGACTCGATGTTATGCAGTTGAAACCCTCAATAAGAAAAATTGACAGTTATTTCCCAGCCAATGGCATCAAAACAAGAACTAAACGATTGTAGCACTTCCAGCTCTGTCGAACAGCGACAATGTGGTGGTAACTGCTTCTTCCTAGGTAACTGCTTCTTTCGAAGAAGCTCATGATGATGATACTTAAAATTTTTATTCTGTTTCAAAGTGCTTTGCAAAGATGGACAACTATCTTTTTTATTTACAGATGGTGAAACAGAAACTCTGAGGCTGAGATCCAAATTTCAAGAGTAATTAATAAATGTGGGTTCCTCAAATGTTGGGTGCCAAGCTTGAAATAACTGGGACCTGACTTTCAGGGGTGCTGAGCATTCTGCTCCATTTGAAGCCATCAAGGGCTGAATGTTCTCTGTTGTGGAGGAAAGTAGAACTAGCTCATTAACAAGCAGAACATGTTGTTCTTTAAAGTCTGTTGATGCATCCTATTCAAGTGGCTTGACAAAGGAGGGGGCTTAAAATCTGTTCTGAATAAACAAATACATATTTTACAGTACATTAGTTAATAGCTTGTAGAGCACTCAGGTGAGCTGAAAACATCTGTTACTAATGTTCTTCCTTCACTAGAAGCACTACAGTGGCGCATGTTCAATGGTACGGATGTGGGACTGTAGCACTTCTTGTGCAGATACTCGACAGCTTATGGGAGAGAGCTCTCCTATCAACTTTAATTACTCCAGCTTCTGCAAGTGGTGGTAGCTGGTGTTGGTGGGAGATACTCTTCTAGTGAGTATCTCTAGTGAGAGAGTGCTGTCCCCCCTGGTGTTCAGGTTCGATGATTTATTAATACCAAGTTACATAAGTTATACTAAAGTAGACACTTAGTCTATTGTCCATATGGGTCAATCGTGTTGAAGTCATGTACTCAGGTGATACCATTATGCATCCAAAATAAACAGCCATTACTCTATTAGGGGTACAACTTACTATGCAGAAACTTGCCAGTGTAAGATACAGTAGTGCTTGGAGAGCACTGAAGGAAAACTGCTGTTGTGTATTCTATCAGCTGCTTGAGTAATAATGTGTTCACGCTTGCATCTGCATTTGACGTGGTGCACTTTGGACACCTATCTCGCAAAGAATCTCTTCCTCTTCTGCTGCTAAGTGTTGTGGGAAGATGATGGGAGGCCTGGGCGTCCTGGGTCCTGTCCCAGTGTCCCATGATGCTTAGGGTTTCCAACCCAGCAATTCCTGTGTTTGTCTGCATGGGAAGGGGGTGT